AAAAAATTAGTTAGTGATAAATTAAAATTAGAAGAAGTCCAAAGTAAAATTAAACAACAATGTAATGAATTATTACAGAAAAATATTTCATTAGAAAATCACTGTGAAAAAAGGGAGCAAGCATTTGATGGCCAAACAAATTTAATTAGCAAATTAGAAAACAGTATCACTGTTTTAAATGAAAAGTTAAATAATTATGTGGAAATTGAAGAAGAAAATAACAAATTACTAAAACAAATAAAATTGTGTTCTAAACAAATGGAAACTTATGAAAATGAACGAGAAGTATATGTACAAAGATTACAAAACATGCAGAAAGAAGAAAATGAATTCAAAAACAATATAAAAGATTTAAAGCAAGAAATGGATGTAAAAAATAGCGAAATTAACAAACTTACCGAAAACTGTACTATTTTGAACTCGAAAAATGCATTGTTATCTACTAATGTAGATAATTTAAAAACAAACTTCACCAATTGCCTAAAACTTTTAGATGAAATGTTTGAAAATTATGTAAAACATAATGCAGTAATAGAAAATAATGAACCACCTTTAAAAATTATCCCTTTAATAAATGAAACATTTGAATTGTTTGAACACACTTTAGMTGAATATAAATTATTTAAATTATCATCTGAAAATTCTAAAATTACTTTAAAAGATGAAATTAACCAAAAAGAAAAAATAATTTTGTCATTAAAGGATAAATTAGATAACTATAAACAGGAAATCTTTAAAAATGAAATGACTAACACTAATTATTCTGAGATAAAGAAGTCTGCAGGGAACACAGATCTTAAGCAAACTCTAAGTGAGAACATAAATAATCGTCAACTAACAATAAATTCTGAACTCAAAAAAAACTTAAAATATATTTATACAATTAAGAATGACATATTGCCAAAACAAAAACTTTTAGTATCTGAATGCATGGAATTTATGTTWAAAAAAATTGAAGAAATTGAATGTTTAAATATTTCCAAAAATTGTTTCATAGAAAATATACATACACAATTTTTAAATTTGAAAAAAGAAATAGTGTGCAAAAATTTAAACATTAAAGAACTAAAAACAGAAGTATTAAATCTAAAAGAATTAGTCAAAACAAAAGATGCACTGTGCAATGACATGAATATAGAATTGCAACAGTTAAAAGAAAACTTAGGTACCTTTAAATCTAATTTAAAAATGTGTTTTGAAGTTATTTTTAATATATTTTTATTTGTATAGATGATGCAAGAACTACGTCAATTGGTAAAGAAGACAATATTTATAAAATGCCTGAAATAGATGAAAGTCAAGAAGATCGTTCACAAAAGGTCAATATTAAATTATGACTAATCTTAGAGTACATTGATAATTAATTACATTTTACATTTTAGTTGAAGGCCATTGCTATAAAACAAAAAAAACAAATAGCTGATTTAAAACAGWCTCTTGAAAATGAAATCAAGAAGCATAGTTTAGAAAAAAGTGATTTAATGAATAAGGTGATGAGCTTAGCTGAACAAGGCAAACTTGCTCGAGTAAGATTTAAAAATAAAAATAATTAATATTGTGT